TAGCAAGAGTTCAAAGTCGAAAGCCGTTTTTTTTCTTTCTTTCTCTTTCTACAGGGTTCGTCATAATTGTCACAACAAGTTATCACGCAATTCCGATAAAATACCTACCGTAAATACTGTAATAGTACCCCACGCTCCCCACGTACAGTCGCGTAGTCGCAAAAGTTTTGTTTAGTATTTCCTTTTTTTCCAAAGCGCTCGTACTTTCAAAAAATGCAATATTTCTCTAATTCTTTTGGTATCAAAAAATAGCCCTGAATTTCAGCTATTTTTTGATACCTAAACGCGCATTTTAGCATAAACCAGTGTCGAGAAAAACGCGCTCAAAGCTAGACTACACAACACTCTGCACAGTCATTATGGGGGTGGGGTACTACAGTATTTACGGTCACTCTTCTCAAGGATAAACTCTTGCCCTGGGATTGTAAACATTCAAAGCTATTTCTCAAATCGCATTTGAACTGATCAGCAAGCTGCCCACAAATCCAAGGGCCACAAATCATTCCCGGATTTGATTTCTTTTTCTGAGTTCTCCAACGCTCCAGACCTCAATCCAGTCGATTTTTTAGAGGCCAAAGCTTGTTTAAAACCCCACAAATCCATCAAAAGCTTGAAAAAGAATCACTGTTGAAAGCGTAGGAAGAGCTTGATCCAGTTGGCCGTTGACGTTGACACCGTTGACGATCCAGGCTCGATCCAGTCTCCATCCAGTCTCCATCAGATCCACCATTGACACCAAAATGCCAGCAAGCCTACTCAAATGCTAATTGCCGATTATATTTCATTTATAATTCTTAATTTTGAAAATTTCTCTTTTTTTGCTTTGCTACTTTGCTCTTTTTTTGCCTTAAAATCAGAATTTAATCTTGTTATTAGTATTATGGCTTCCCCTGTCTATTGTATCACAATTTTGCCTAGCAAATCAATATTTACCCTTTAGCATTACCATGTCAAGTACCAGAATCAAGTTCAAGTGTTGGTTAATGGTGATCTAAAGCCGGTGATCGATTCGGATGACCTGCAGGATTGAAGAAAACATGAGGATCACCCCCACCCATCTATTAGCAATTGCTCGGCGATCATTTGACCATTTGACCGTTTGGAATTGGAAAGATTACGCAATCGGGCAGCTGCCTCCAAGTGCCATCACTCTTGCAGGCAATCATTGAGAAATTCGAGCATTCCAATGCTAATTTGGGGGAAAGTAAGGCTTTTGGAGAAGCTAAAAGCCCAAATCAACATTTAACACTCAACTTGTACTTTGTTTTATTGCATGACATCCAGGATTAACAAAGCAATCAATAGAATTGTCTACAGTAATCCTTGAGCAGCTATGTAATCGATAGCTCTAAAGCTACCGTCTCTATTGACTATTATCTATCGTATCTATCGTACTCTATCGTAGCCTATCGTAGCCTATCATAATCTATCGTAATCTATCGTAGCCTATTGTAATCTACCGTAATCTATCGTAATCTATCGTACTCTATCGTAATCTATCGTAATCTATCGTAATCTAGTAGCTACAGTAACCGCACTTTATATTAAACCCGGTACAGCCAGCAGAACCACATGCAAAATTGTAAAATGATCTTGGATCACCCTTCACAAAATTGAGTGCAGCTGGCTGGGTGGTGAGCTGACTGCTTGGTGAACAAGCACACTAAATTTCTTTGTGAACATCGGCTAGCCTCAGTCAACCACCCCAAACAAGTCAACAAGCCATAAAACCCAAATAATAGATAGGATTTTGTGATGACACAAAGAGGATTCACGGATAAGCCTTATGAATGAGCTGACTCTTTCTTGACTCTTTCTTGGCTTATTTTGGGAGCGATGGTGAAGTAGACAACATCACGTCGAACACTTTGCCCGCATCCCCTAAATCATTCATCGGCTATTAATCCCCTTTCTTTTCCTTTTCTGAATTTCAGGGAGATCCATTTAGCTTTCCCCCTTTCTGCACATCTGCTTTGATCATCGGATTTGAGAGATTTGAAGATTTGAGAGATTTTGTGGCGAATTGCCACTGCTCTGCAGTTAGACAAAAATTCAATGCACAAGTTAAAATTGAAAGTTAATGGATAAACTACCGTAATCAGTCACTAGACGATATTCAGTTGTCCGTTTGTTGTAGCTTGTAGCTACTTAGCTAGCTAGCTGTTGTAGCTACTTAAAAAAACCCGTTATTGAAGCTTTTGCTTCCGAGTGAGTTTTTTGGTTCTCTCCTTTTTTCTTCTATCTTTCATCCTTTTTTTTACATTCAAATGTTGAATTAATTGTGATAGTGCCAGGTGGGAAAAAAATGAATCTCGATTCAATACTTCTAACAGCTGAGCCATCGTCATTGCAAAAACTCAAACATCACCGTTGCATTGTGATAGTGCCGAAAGTCTGACCGCAGTATGCGATGGATGCGAATTCGCTTCAACGCTTTAGAAAACGCACGGCTCTGCTTTCGCGCTAGTCCCTTAAAAACGTCAAAAAAAAAAGTTGCGCAAATGATTCTGTTGTGCAAATGGAAAGCGTACTTGCGTACTTGCGCCGACGTACTTGCGCAAATGATCCTGTTGCGGAAATCCTGTTGAAATAAAATGGCGAAAATTAGCCTACCCCTCCTTTTTTTTCACATGCAAATGTTGAATTAATTGTGATAGTGTCAGGTTGTTTCCAGTTTGCTCCAGTTTGCTCCAATTTGAGCGAAGTTTGCTCCAGTTTGCCCAGTTTGAGCGAAGTTTGCTCCAGTTTGCTCCAGTTTGAGCGAAGTTTGCCCAATTTGAGCGAAGTTGCCCAGTTGCTCCAGTTTGCTCCAGTTTGTCCAGTTTGGCGGTTGCCCAGTTGCCCAATTTGAGCGAAGTTTGCCCAATTTGAGCGAAGTTTGCCAGTTGCCCAGGCCCAGTTGAGCGAGTTTGCTCAATTTGAGCGAAGTTTGCCCAGTTTGCTCAGTTTGCTCCAGTGAGCGAAGTTTGCTCAGTTGCCCAATTTGAGCGAAGTTTGCTCCAATTTGAGCGAGTTTGCTCCAGTTTGCTCCAGTTTGCTCCAGTTTGCTCCAGTTTGAGCGAAGTTTGCTCCAGTTTGCTCCAATTTGAGCGAAGTTTGCTCCAATTTGAGCGAAGTTTGCTCCAGTTTGCTCCAGTTTGCTCCAATTTGAGCGAATTTTGCTCCAGTTTGCTCCAGTTTGCTCCAGTTTGCTCCAATTTGCTCCAGTTTGAGCGAAGTTTGCCCTCAATAAGGGAAAGTTGGATAAATTGTGCGTTTGTGCGTTTTCAAGAAGACCACTATTGAATCACACCGAGACACGGTCTCAGAAGAAAAATCAAAAATCTCATAAATCAAAACATAAACATATATTTCTTACAGATTTTTCGAGTCATTGCTGGATAGAATTTAACTCTAAATCTTTGGAAATATCTTTTTGATTGATTTATTGGTTAAATCTGAAGAAATCGAAAGTTCTACAGTTCTGTAGAATGTGATTTTTGTTTAAATTTCGGGTTTAACACCTCTATTCAATCATTTAACATCGCTAGTACTTTAGAAAGCTTTCGTCTAGTGAAAACAAGCGTTCACCATGGAAAAGGAGATCTACTCAACCATTTCCCCTTATCCCATCCATTGCCAGATGGACAGGCAGGTGTTCTTCTCGATCTCCAACCCAATACAGCCCAAGGGAACCCCCCTCTGCATAGTATTCTTGTCTTTCCCCCAGTCCAATCCCATCCCACCCCTCGATCGGTCATCTAGGGTCACTTCTGCACTTCTGTACCCTCTATTTGCTCTTTTCATGCTCTCAGGAAAAAGGAACCTCGAGAATGACTCTCTTTCTTCTTTTTGGCTAATCCAGCTGCTATCCCAAGCTCTTTTCTCCACATCCCCATTTCCCTTTCTCGTTATTTTAAGAAAACCCCGATCTAGATCTACTAAGATAAAGTTGATTTTATATCGCAATGAAAACAACTTTATTTGAGGCTTCGTTTTAGTCAATCCAGAGGTCAGTCAGGCAAGGCCAAACCAAGCCAAACCAAACCAAGCAAAGCTAAGCTAGGCAAAGCTAAGCAAAGCAAAGCTAAGCCAAGCAAAGCCAAACCAAGCCAATCCAAACCAATCAAAGTTAAGCCAATCCAAACCAAACCAAACCAAACCAAACCAAACCAACAACAGAAACAAAAAGAAGAGAAGGAAGCAAGAGGGGGGGGGCGGGAAAGAGAGAGAAAAAGAAAAAAATGGAAACTCAAAAGAAAAAAAAGAACCCCCACCCCCACCCCCCAACACCCACCCCCATCCAGGTGAAAAAATGAGTAGGCAAAACAAACCAATCCAAACCAATCCAAACCAATCCAAAACAATCCAAACCAAACCAAACCAACTTCTTACTTAACTATGTGATTTAGAGAAGCCAACTTCTTTATTCAACACCTCAAAAACTGCTCTCCTACTGGTAAAACTTGCAAACACACATCTTCTGGTGCACTCAACATTCCCCATTTTTAGCTTTCAATTGAAAAAAATTTATTGTTTAACAACGATCTAACCGATCGAGATCATCAAAAGGCAAAAGACAAAAGAAAAGCGAAAAGAAAGATTTGTGAATGTGAAAAGCAATTATAATTTTTTAAAGTATATCCAACAAAAGCCGTAAATTCGAGATCACATTGAGAAAAATTCAAAAAAAAAAACTCAAACGAGATCGACTACCGTAGCCGGACTTTTTACAATCAAAAAACGAAAAATTTAACGTTTTACCTCTAGCTGGAATGCACAGAGTTTAAAACCGCATTTTAAACTACAAAAAATCAGACCAGCTTACTATAGTTTGAGATGAGCGCCTTTTAGGGGTACTGTAAGTGAAATTTCAAAGCTTTCAACGTTTAATTCGACAAATTGGAGTGCACAGAGAAGAAAAATGCAAAAAAAACTGAAAAAGACAAGCTTTAGAAAATAAAAGGGTTACTGTAATTTGGGGCACAGTATAGGGAAGTGCTATCAAAGCTGTACTATCAAAGCACTTGCAGCGTACTGCTATTGTTGTTTAGTTGATAGGCGGGCGAGTTCTGGCTAACACTAGAGCTCCGTTTTGAGTCGATATCCAAGAAAAATGTCTCCATCATATCCTAAAATCAGATGCATTTTAGTAAAAACAATTTTTTAGACTAAATTCTAAAAGGTGGATGTTTTTCAAATCAATTTTCACACTTCAAAATAATCTTATTTTTCTTTCGTGCGCTCCAGGATAGCCGATTTTCACATAAAAATCACTTCAAAACGTTGGTTTAACCAAAATTTACGCGTGATTCGTTGTCGACGCCTTAAAGGTACTTGAAAAGGTCACGATTTAAAAGTTGCCTTATGATTTGTCAATCCTGGAGTACACGGAATACTTTAAGCATAAAAGTTCCCTACCTTAACCCCTTTGACTTTGATCTTGCCGCGACTGTGGACTCGAAAGCCGGCTCGCTTCAGCAGTTGCCCCATCTCAGTCGTCACCTAGGAATACGGTGTTCCTGGAAGGCACAACAGTAAACAAACATGGATTTTTCGGGGTTCTCCATGCGTATCCATTCTTGAAGCCAGATTCACCGTGTTTCCCCAAATGTCGTATTGGGGCTTCTGCGCGCCGATCACTCCGGCCACCAGGCTGCCCACCGACATACCTAGATTTTGTTACAGTAAGCATTTGGGTACTAGTTTAGTACTCATTCAGTCTCTGACAGTAATCCCTTTGGCCAAGGGCTTACTGTAGGTTACTGTAGGTTACTATAGGTTACTATAGTTGGGGTACGGTAACGAGTATGTAATTTCCAATACGCATTGGGGCTTCTGCGCGCCGATCACTCCGGCCACCAGGCTGCCCACCGACATTCCTACAATCGATATTTTCTTACAATAAGCTTTAAGTACTCGTTTAGTACTCATTTAGTGACTACGGTAATCCAAAACTGAAGCGGCTGAGCTTACTGGAAAGAATTGGGGCACTGTAGCGAGTATGTACTTTCCGTGAGATCCAATCAAGCTTACGCTAGGTAATTTGCGTTCAGCCAGGCTTACTGTAGCTAATTTTGGTACTTGGCTTACTGTAGCTACTTGATACTACCTTTTTCAGTAAGGTTATAGGGAATTGGATAGCTCACCAATTCGCAGCTCGAAATTCTGAAATGAATCTCGATTCAATACTTCTAACAGCTGAGCCATCGCCATCACAAATAGTTCGGGTACGGTAACGAGTATGTAATTTCCGTTAGCCAGATTCAGGCCCAGGTTTACTGTAGCTAATTTGCAGGCAGTTACTGTAGCTACTTTGAGTGCATTCAAGCTTACTGTAGCTAATTTGAGTCCAGTGAAGCTTACTGTAGCTAATTTGAGTCCATTCAAGCTTACTGTAGCTACTTTGAGTCCAGTCAAGCTTACTGTAGCTAATTTTGGTACTGTACTTTGTTTTCTTTAGCCTGTCTTTTCCCGTGAGGCTATGCTACTGTAGCTCACCAATTCGCAGCTCGAAATTCTGAAATGAATCTCGATTCAATACTTCTAACAGCTGAGCCATCGCCATTGCAAACTCAATCATCACCGTTGCATTTCGAAAAGCCTTAAATGAAAACTTTATTACAAGCTAATCCTTTTTAGATTTCAATATAATTTGATAACTTAAATTTAAGTCTTTACCGCGTTCTCCATTCGCCTTCTCAACATCGCATCATTGCCATCAAAAGGCTGAAAGTTTGATAAGCTTAAAAGTTATCTAGCACTGGATCCTATTTATTGACAGACAATTAGCCTAGTCTTGAATCTATTGGACCTGTCCAAAGCCCCGTCCAAAGCCCTGTCCAAAGCCCCGTCCAAAGCCCTGTCCAGGGCCCTGTCCAAGACCCTGTCCAAAGCCCTGTCCAAGGCCCTGTCCAAGGCCCTGTCCAAAGCCCTGTCCAAGGCCCTGTCCAAAGCCCTGTCCAAAGCCCTGTCCAAAGCCCTGTCCAAGGCCCTGTCCAAGGCCCTGTCCAAAGCCCTGTCCAAGGCCCTGTCCAAAGCCCTGTCCAAAGCCCTGTCCAAAGCCCTGTCCAAGGCCCTGTCCAAGGCCCTGTCCAAAGCCCTGTCCAAAGCCCTGTCCAAGGCCCTATCCAAGGCCCTGTCCAAGGCTCTACCAAGTGCTCTAGACCTGGCGATAGGACTTGTGCTGAACCTCTTGTACTAGATATTCTGGATAAGCTTAAGTTATGAGCACTTGATCTTGGCTGACTCTATTGATAGACAATGAGCTGATCTATTGATAGACAATGAGCCTAGTCTTAAACTTACTTTACCAAGCCTGCTCTAGGCACAAGCAAGCTCTAGGTTCTAGCTCTAGCTCCAGGTCCAGACCTAGAGCTAGGACTAGAACTTGTGCTGAGCCTCTTGTACTAAACCAGTCTTGCTCACTTGTAATGAATGTAATGAACCACGAAATCAGAGTGCCTTCCAGATAAAGCAATAAACAGAGTGCCTTCCAGATGAAATCCCCTCACCAACCATCTCGTCGATTTCTGCCTCGTTCAACCCCGACGCCGCCATATATGTGCTCCCGACGGTCTTGATCTTCTCCACACTACTGAATTTCGGCTTCGACAACAACTGAAATTGCGTACTGTGTTCCAGGATGGCCTTCTTCTTCTTCAGAAGCCATTAAAGCATTGATGCTAGCTCGCAAACCTTGTCGAACTCGCAAACAATCTCGTTCAACAATCGCAAGCACTCCAGCTTTCGGCTAGTGTCCCATTGACTCCAGAAATCCTAGAAAGAGACGATCTTCATCTAGAAATCAGTTTTTTTTACCTTAAAATTTGGAATTGAAGCAAACATGACACAAACATTTTCGTGCATTCGAGCGTAAAGTTCCTGAAAAATCGTATGTTGAAATTTCTCAAAAAATTCAAATTTCTTACATCAACATTTCGATCGGGTGACAGAAATTTTAAAGCAACTGAGCTCGGCAAGATGTTCTCGATAAGAATCTGCAAAAAATGATTTCATTTCTTTGTTCAGATCAGCTCTGAAATGCTAAAAGTTGGCTAAAAATGACTTTTCATTGTTATAGCTTTTCAAGAAAGCTTCAAGAAAGAAGTCAAACCATTTCGTTGCCTTACTTTTCTTCTGAAAAATCAAATAAAGTCATTAAGATAATGATATTTGATTGCTCTTTGCCTTGCGAAACAATCTTGACTTTTGGTTTGGTTGGGAAATGAATTGAAATCTGACTTTATTAATATTAATAATAATGATTTGATTGCTCTTTATCTGATGAGCTCTAAAATGCTAAAAGTTTAAACCATTAGCTTTCAGAAAGAAGTCAAACCATTTCGTTGCCTTACTTTTCTTCTGAAAAATCAAATAAAGTCACTAAGATAAGATAAGATCACTGATTTGATTGCTCTTTACCTGATGAGCTCTGAAATGCTAAAAGTTAAAGCTATTGTTATAGCTTTTCAAGAAAGAAGTCAAACCATTTCGTTAACGAAAAAAAAAACGCAAGCAAGGCAACGAAATGGTTTACCTTCTGAAAAGTCAAATAAAGTCACTAAGATAATGATTATTGCTGCCAAATTGGTTCCCAGGCCTTGGGAAACAATCTTGACTTGTGGTTTGGTTGGGAAATGAATTGAAATCTGACTTTATTAATATCCTGCATCGTTTCAACATCTTTCTCTTCGTTTTCAAAAGAAACATGACATGCGGATTCGGCTTTTCTTTCGTAATTTGTCTAAAATTTCACTGACTCTGGCTGGCTTTAGTGCACTAGAAGATAGATGTTTCTGTGTTCAACACAAAGAACAAAATAGCTGCCTTTACTGCACTAGAAGATAGATGTTTCTGTTTTCCCACAAAGAACAAACTAGCTGCCTTTAGTGCACTAGAAGATAGATGTTTCTGTTTTCCCACAAAGAACAAACTAGCTGCCTTTAGTGCACTAGATGATAGATGTTTCTGTGTTCAACACAAAGAACAAAATAGCTGCCTTTACTGCACTAGATGATAGATGTTTCTGTTTTCCCACAAAGAACAAAATAGCTGGCTTTACTGCACTAGATGATAGATGTTTCTGTTTTCCCACAAAGAACAAAATAGCTGGCTTTACTGCACTAGATGATAGATGTTTCTGTTTTCTCACAAAGAACAAAATAGCTGCCTTTAGTACACTAGAAGATAAATCTTTCTCTTTTTCAACACAAAGAACACTTACAATCCAATCAACGAACATCAACAGCAACAAGGCGAAAATCAGATTTAAGAGAATAATCGTTAGCTGGTAACTAGAGATACTTTTTTTTTGTTTATTTGAATTTAAGTAACGAAATGATCTGACCTCAATTGTTGACTTGAAGATGATTCATCTTTATTTCCTTGATTATTATAAATAGGAAACATTGAAAGCAGCACTTCGAATAGACCAAAATCGATTGCGAAAAGGAAACACCGAAACGAATATGGGAGACGGTAGAGGATGAAAACCAAAGACAAATGAGTGATCGAGGCTGGAATTTGTTTCTGATTCTAGCTTTTAATGCCTGGATTGGGCTTGCTCCAGATCTGAGCTTAGCTTACAGTCCACTGAACCAGGAACTGCTTCAGTGATCTTAGGCTTGAGTGATCGAGGCTGGAATTTCATTTTTCAGCTAGGCTTTCATCTAACCAATTTCGAGATTAGCCTTTCTGATTAGCTGGCTTACAATCCACTGAACCAAGAAATGGTTGATGAGGCTGGTGATTAGAAATCATTAAATGAGGGCCCAGAAAGTTTGGCTTCAAAACCATTCACTCACCGGGCTTTCCTGGCTTCAAAAAAGCCATTCACTCACTGGGCTTTCTGGCTTACAAAAGCCATTCACTCACCGGGCTTTCCTGGCTTCAAAACCATTCACTCACTGGGCTTTTCTGGCTTGCCAAACCATTTACCCACCGGGCAACCAAATCAATGACCTTCTCTGGCTTTAAAAAGAACCATTCACTCACCAGGCAACCAAATCAATGACGTCAACGTTTTCTTCAACGTGCTTTCATCAACTTTACTTGTGAGAATTAGCTAAAACATTTTTTTTTGATTAACAATTTAAATATCGAACATTTCTAGTTGTCTAAACGATTTTTTTTCTTCACTTACATGTGGCCCAATAGTAAGTAAAGTCGATAAAACGAAAGCTGTCGAGGCGAAGATTTTTTGAGCAAAGGGGCAAAGTCTAGAAAGTGTTTTAGATGTGAATTTTGGCTTTTGTCTAAGAAACTCGTACCGATTTAAAACGGCTAAAAAGCACAAGACGAGCGTGCAGACAACAAAGATTAATCCCATCAAAATTTGAGTGTTTTCTCTGAAAAGAATAAAATTAATGAAATGAATACCGAATTTCTTCGAATAGAAGACCGGGTAAAGAGTATGATCGCGTACTCCTGCGTGGCAGCCCTTTTTATCTTTTAAAGAGTATGATCGCGTACTCCTGCGTGGCAGCCCTTTTTATCTTTTAAAGAGTATGATCGCGTACTCCTGCGTGGCAGCCCTTTTTATCTTTTAAAGAGTATGATCGCGTACTCCTGCGTGGCAGCCCTTTTTATCTTTTAAAGAGTATGATCGCGTACTCCTGCGTGGCAGCCCTTTTTATCTTTTAAAGAGTATGATCGCGTACTCCTGCGTGGCAGCCCTTTTTAAAATTTCTTTTCTGCATAAAAGCTTTGAATGAAGTGCTATAGAGCTGGAAAATGACTGAAAAATACGACATGAGCTAACAGATTTTTGGGCTAACAGACGACATGAGCTAACAGATTAAAAAGGGCTGCCACGCAGGAGTACGCGATCATACTCTTTAAAGGATAAAAGGGCTGCCACGCAGGAGTACGCGATCATACTCTTTAAAGGATAAAGGGGCCCAGTACGCGATCATACTCTAGGATAAGGGGCTGCCACGCAGGAGACGCGATCATACTCTTTAAAGGATAAAAGGGGCTGCCACGCAGGAGTACGCGATCATACTCTTTAAAGGATAAAAAGGGCTGCCACGCAGGAGTACGCGATCATACTCTTTAAAGGATAAAAGGGCTGCCACGCAGGAGTACGCGATCATACTCTTTACCCGGTCTTCTATTCAACGAAATACGGTAAAATGATTTGATTGATTGACTTTAAAAAAAAAAACAAATAATTTACGGGAAATATTGTCGAATAGTGAGCATATTAGCGGCACCTAATGGCACAGAGATCAACACAAAGAGAGTACAGTCCGAGAATTGACATAAATACGTGTGCGAGCTAAAGATTACAATGTTTAAAGGGATTTCTTCGAAGATTTCATATCTTTCTAATGAGTTACCGTAAATACTGTAATAGTACGGCACTCTCGTAATGACGGTGCGGAGTGTTGCGTAGTCTAGCTTTGAACGAGGTTTTTCTCGACACTGGTTTAAGCTACAATGCGCATTTAGGTATCAAAAAATAGCTGAAATTCTGGGCTATTTTTTGATATCAAAAGAATTAGAGAAATATTGCATTTTTTGAAAGTACGAATGCTTTGGAAAAGAAAGGAAATACTAAACAAAACGACTTTGCGACTACGCGACTGTACGAGGGGAGCGTGGCGTACTATTACAGTATTTACGGTAGGTATTTATCGGAATTGGGTACTGCAATTGTTGTGACAATTATCGTGCACCCTGTAGAGTTTATCCATGAGAAGAGCTACCATAAATACTGTAATAGTACGGCACTCTCATAATGACGGTGCGGAGCGTTGCGGAGTGTTGGGCAGTCTAGCTTTGAACGAGGTTTTTCTCGACACTGGTTTATGCTACAATGCGCATTTAGGTATCAAAAAATAGCTGAAATTCTGGGCTATTTTTTGATAAAAAAAGACCCATTTTCTGAAAGTACAGGTGCTTTGGAAAAGAAAGGAAATACTAAACAAAACGACTTTGCGACTACGCGACTGTACGAGCGGAGCGTGGCGTACTATTACAGTATTTACGGTAGATTTTTAAATGTAGTTAAATCGATTTTAAAATTCTTCTTTACCTAAATGGCCATAGTAAATTCGGTGACGTCGAGATTTTCGTGCTCTTACAGCTGAACATGTTTGTGAAACTGAAAAAAAGGAAAAAAAAAGTGTTTATGAAACTCGTTTTTCACTCCGCACATTTTGGGTAGAGTATTTTCCTCGCGAGTAATGCGTTTTTTTTTAGAAAGGCAAATTTGGGCAAAAAAATTACAGTACTTTTAGCAAAAAATTATTGCAAAAAAATGGCTTAGGCTAGCGACTTAGTGGCTTAGGCTAGCGGCTAGCGCCTAGCACTAAGTCTATTTGGGTTTGGGCTGAACCCCCATTAGGCTTAGGCCTAGACTAGGCTTAGCTCAGGCTTAGGCTTAGGCTTGGACTTAGTGCAAGGCTTAGGCTTAGGCTTAGGCTTAGGCTTAGGCTTAGGCTTAGTGCAAAGGCATAGGCATAGGCTTAGGAATAGGCTTACGCTAGGCTTACGCTAGGCTTAGGCTTAGGCTTAGAGTACGATAAGACGGTAGCCAAAACGGTAACTGGGAACGATAGCTTGGACACTTTTAAATAATCTACAAGCACGGTAGACTGGACAGAAATTCCTAAGCCTAAGCCTGAGCCTGAGCCTAAGCCTAAGCCTGAGCCTGAGCCTAAGCCTAAGCCTGAGTCTGAGCAAAAATGACGAGCCGCGCCTTATATACGAAACTTTTAAAAGATACTCAGCCGTTTAAATGATTTGGTGGGAAATTGTTTTGTTGTTGCTCTTGTTGTTGGCCTACTGCGAAAATTGGCCTACTGCGTAAAATGATTTTTTTTTCTTTGAAAAACCTGCGCATTGCTTTTATATTTTTTTCTCGCGCAGGCGCACTTTTTAGAAAACGCATTACTCGATAATTACTCGGCAATTACTCGATAATTACTCGAGTTATTTACTCGCGCAATTACTTTACTTACAAAAAAAAACACTCTAATTTTTGGGAACATTTCCGGCAGCACTCACTTATTCAATGAATAATTCGTCAAATTGTTTTCGATGAGCGTCATGCTTTGCACGGTGTGCGGTCGACGAGGCGCATCGGAACACTAGACAACGATCATCATCATTTGAATTGATCAAATTGCATAGATGCTAATTTTAAAAGTTTTAAACAAAAAATTTCATTCATGTAAAACTTTCCTTTGCCTTTTAAACTTTTAAAACTTTTGTTTTGTTTTTTGTTTTGTTGTTTTTTTTGTTTTGTTTTTTTTTGGCTTTTCCTTCAATTCCCCTCACCTCATTCCTCCCCTGGACATATAGATTTGCATATATTGGGTTGTCCAGTTATGAATGCGCGTTTTTACTATTTTGTAAATTTCTCAAGATATCGAACAGATTTATATGAGTGTTATATATCATTCGAAAGCTCAAGATCTCCTCTACATTTTGGAATTAAAAAGGTTTTTGAATTCATTCAACTTTTTGGGGAATTGACTGCACAAAGGGAGAGGTCTTTTTCGAAAAAACCCATTCCAGTTTAGCTATTCCTCAAGTTTTATGGTGTAAAATAACCGCCCAGAAAAGAAAAGTAAAGATGCTCTGAAATTGTTATATTGAAAAAAAGTTGTATTGATATATCTATTGGCCAAACATCAAACGGTTAACTCAATTTGAGCGGAGCCAAAACTTGATCCAAAGGCACCCTTCCATTTTTTGGCCACCTCTTCTTCTGTGCGGTCAATTTGCCCAAAAGCTGGACAAATTCAAAAACTTTTTATATCAAAATGTAGAGGAGATCTTCAGCTTTCGAATAATACTCATATATATCTTTTTCTTGATTTCGGTATCTTGAGAAATTTACAAAATAGTAAAAAACGCGCATTCATAACTGGACAACCCAATAGATTAAATTGCATAGATATTGGACCGTATTGGAACCGTATTGAAGCCGTATTGGAACCGTATTGGAACCGTATTGGAACTGTATTAAAGCCGTATTGGAACCTTAAAAGGAATCGTATTGGAACCGTATTGGATCTGTATTGGAACCATATCAAAACCGTATTGGAACCGTAATGGAAACGTATTGGAACCGTATTGGAACCGTATTAGATCAAAATAGGAACCGTATCCGAACCATATTGGAACTGTATTGGAACCGTATTGGAACCATATTGGAACCGTATTGGAACTGTATCCGAACCGTATTGGAATCGTAATCGAACCGTATTGGAACCGTATTGGAACCTTAAAAGGAACCGTATTGGAACCGTATTGGAACCTTAAAAGGAACCGTATTGGAACCGTATTGGAACCTTAAAAGGAACCATATTGGAACCGTATTGGAACTGTATCCGAACCGTATTGGAATCGTAATCGAACCGTATTGGAACCGTATTGGAACCGTATTGGAACCGTATTGGAACCTTAAAAGGAACCATATTGGAACCGTATTGGATCCTCAAAAGGAACCGTATTGGAACCGTATCCGAACCATATTGGAACCGTATTGGAACTGTATCCGAACCATATTGGAACCATATTGGAAGCATAGATTAAATTGCATAGATCCTATTTTACAAATTTAAACACAAAATTGTTAAATTTTCCTTTGACTTTTTTGACTTTTAACTTTTGCTTTTTTGGCTTTCCCTTTAATTCCCCTCACCTCATTCCTCCCCTGGACACTCCGTTTTCGAGCCAAATTCGCAAATGGCGTCTCGGCACCCCAGAATTCAACCATTTTTGAAACCTAAAGAGAAAACCTTTCGAATTTTCGCTTTTTTTCGTTGTTTTCTAAATAGTGTAGAAGCTTTTTTGAAGCTATTTTAACCGTTGAAAGAACTAAAAAAATACCTTTGCAGCTCGAGTTTTTCCGCCAACTTTCATCTGTTTATTTGTTTAATAAAATACCACTTGTTTTCATTTAATATGTCGTAGCCGATGAAGGATTTCAGCCGAAGAAGTCTCAGACTTCTTCGGCTAGCCGATTAAGTCTCAAATTTTTTCGCTAGCGAAACCTTCTTCGACTACGACATATATATAGCTGTTTGTCCATCTGTACAAGCTTTTCTCAGCCGTTTTTAAGCCAAATTCTTTTAGAATAGAATATAATTGGATCTTTTAAAGAAAAATTCCAAAACTTTCAGATCAATGGCACCAGGCGGGGTCGAACCCGGACCTTGTGGGTTGTAGACGAGCGCGCTCTCGACTGCGCTATCGGTGGCACGGGAACCTGACCAGAGAAACTAGCCCTTAGCCGGGTTGGACTGGTTTAAAGAGATTTGAATTGTGTTATAGGGTGAAACCTTGCTCTTCATCGATATGCGAGGATTGTGCGCAGAAGCAGGCGACAATCCGACACCCGTCCCATTCTCCTCAACGCTCATGTCCATGGCTCGACGTCTGGAAAGGAGATTAATCTTGAAGGGAAATTCGATAGTTGGAAACTAAAAAGCTTTCTTCAATCCATCTGAAGCCAACAGGCGATTTGGATAGGGTTCAATTTTGACTAGAAAACGAGGCTGAGAAACTTGATGGTCTAAACTTGATGGTCTAAACTTGATGACCTAAACTTGATGGTCTAAAGTTGATAGTCTAAACTTGATGGACTAAAGTTGATGACCAAAACTTGATGACCTAAACTTGATGACCTAAACCCATCTCACATTTACTATTCACAATTCCTTTAAGCCAAATTTGATAGTGATCAGTCCTAGCCTTGTTCTAAGTTAATGCGCCAAAAAGTTCGAGCCACCGGAAGGAAAAAATTAAAAGTGTTACAAATTGATTGGTAACTCACTTATTCCTGTAAATGCTTGCCGTCCTCTCGATAACGGTCGTTTTATCGGGCAAAATGTGATACGTTGGCTCACCGTGTGCAACAATATGAGGATCGTCAGAGCTGCAATTTTCACTGTACTTGTTCAATATTCAAATCCAGATTTCAACGAAATATCACAATCCAATTTTGAGCGTGTACTCCAATTTGACTAATGAAAATCTCTTTTCTCATTTTCCGATTGATCGTCAGAGCTGGGATCGTCACTTTACTTCTTTTTCTTTGCATAAGCATTTAAAAACGAAATTCTAATTGAATAACTCAATCCATTTTGACTGTGTACTCCAATTTGATTTGACAAAATCTCTTTTCTCATTTTCCGATCGATCGTCAGAGCTTTACTTCTTTCTTTTTGCATAATCATTTAAAAACGAAATTCCAATTGAATAACTGAATCCAATTTTGAGCGTGTACTCCAATTTGACCAATCAAAATCTCTTTTCTCATTTTCCTAATCCCTAAAACCCACTTCGCCTCGACGATACAGTAATCCCCCAACAACATATCCCTGGTCGTTTTTGTGATGTGTACAGCTCTGGAAAATCACTATTTCAATAGTCTGATATCCAGCTTGGCCATTACGCTCGCTAGACACTTCTTAAAACAAACCCAGGCACCCCAGCGCTCTCCATATGGTTTGCCAGCGTTACGTCATCGCTCCACACATCGAATTGCCATTTTCTAAAAATCTTTGAGCAATCTGGATGTCACAAAAGCTTTTGACGCAAAAATTGATTCATTTACCGTAGTCCCAGGATTCCGCACAGCACCGAGCCCGTATGCACGCCGATTCGCATATTCACGTCGACTCCGGTGGCGTTCCGGATTTGTCTAGACGCTCGAAATCTCCTCAAATGATCCCTGAGAGACTCACTTGATCGTGTTGATCATCTCCAAGCCCATCACGACACACATATCCGCGTGATTCGGTCGATTCACCGGCATCCCCGACACACAATAATAGCAATCGCCAAGAAATTTGATGCGCATACATTGCAGTTTCTAGCAAAAAGCACAATCGCATTTCAATATTTCAATATCATTTCCTCCAACCTGCGCATCTCTATCGAATTTGCTGTAAAGCTCATTCAGCGTTCTCACCAAATCCTTTGCACTCAGCTGCGCGGCTAACACCGTGAAATTCACGATGTCCGCAAAGAGAATACTAAAATTTTATCTCGATTTTTGTCAATCTGGAATGCACAATGCAATCCTAGCTTCGAATTTCTTTTCTTACCTAACATTGTCGTGAACTTGTACATGCAACTCATGAAAGAGCTTGTGTCCACGGAGACGCGGATCCGGTTGGGTTTTGTACTAAAAACCGAATAATTAAAACCGACTCTAGTTATAGTTATCGAAATCTTACTTGTGATGATGAGGCGACAATCATTTTGCTAACTTTGTCCGCTAAATAGGCTGGGATGACTGAGAGGAGGAGTTGCTCCTGGAATAGAATGAAATCGAATGAAATGCGCCGATTGGATTGCTCGGAGCCTTGCCCAGAGTTACCCTAAGCCAAGCCAAGCCAAACCAAGCCAAACCTAGGTCCCTAAGATCCCCTGATCTTGAGTCTAAGCCTAAGTCTGACCTGTCTGTCTTTGAGCGTTTCCAACTCTGTTCTTCTGTACACAGCTTCGGTCAACTTGTTGGCGATGTCGGCTCGATTCGCGGCCTCATTCGCATCGCACATCAAACCGATCAGCGAAACGATTGCTTGATGGATTGAGAAGGAGAAAATCTTCAAAATTTGTTCTCAAAATTTCTCAATCTCAATCTCGATTTAAAAATAGCTCTTTTCACTTTTCAAAATAGCTCTTTTCACTCACCGAATTCAGCACTCCTCCATCTCTTCTCAATGGCGTTAAATTGATCATTAGCAACAAAAAAAAGTTGAGAAAATTCCAGAAAACGCATAAAATAAGAAAGAGACGACGACGACGCGGGAGGATTAAATGCTGGAAATGGGTCATTGATTTGTACTGCATATCTAGGACGCCTGAGATCTTTTTCTGGACTAAGTACGGCTAGAGTCAGACTAGAGGCTAGATTCTGTTCTTGTTTTGGCTGCTGACTGGCCTGGGCCTAGCCTTGCTTGGCCTGGACCTGGCCTTGCTTGGTCTGGGTGGCCTGTTTACCTGAGTGGCTCGGATCACTTTCTGGCGCTAGTTTCTGGCGCCATTTTCTGGCACCAGTTTCTGGAATCACTTAAAGCTTTCACATATTCCCAGAACGGCTATTCAGAACGTTCCCCCGCATTTCTGCACACCTCACTCCCCGAATTTATGCTGTTTAAACCTGATAAATTGTTGAGATGCATAACGAGGTGAAAAGCGAGGACATTTCCGGGACACGGCCTTGTTTGATCTCCTTGAAATGATTTGTGCAAACTCGTTGAAATGATTTATGCAAGAGTAAACGACAAACCTGTACAAGATACGGTAAATAGATCACCCAAATTGCTATCGGGAAAATCATTGTCGAAAGCAATGAGAGAATAAACATTCGTTTACTATCCTGAAATTCTTGGCTCAGTTACAGCTTAGTTACAGCTTAGTTACAGCTTAGTTACCGCTTAGTTACAGCTTAGTTACTACTTAGTTACAGCTTAGTTACTGCTTAGTTACAGCTTTGTTACAGCTTAGTTACAGCTTAGTTACAGCTTAGTTACAGCTTAGTTACAGCTTGTTACAGCTTAGTTACAGCTTTGTTACAGCTTAGTTACAGCTTACTTACAGCTTTGTTACAGCTTCATTTTTCTTGGCCTTTTAACTCACCAATTCTCTCAAACGACCAGCCAAAAATGCTAAAATCGAATAAACAAAAAAGATGACGATCAGCCCAAGGCACGAATATTTTAAACTCTGAAAATTTCTCTCAAACTCTCAAATTCGAATTTGAACTTGCCTCATCTTTTTGCTTAAAATAGTAAATAGCGAATAGATGTGCCATTGTGTATCCCAGTACCCACAAATGAAACATATTCAAACGAGCGCTAAATATTTTTGATATTTTATCGATTTAGAATGCAAACTGGAACGCATTCTTTGCTTTAAAGCATAAAAAAGAAAAAAAAACGACGACAAAGACATTTCCCGGACTCGAACCCCCGATCACTTGCCTAGCGCCAAGCGCCCCAACCACTTGGCCATGCATTCGAGATTGCTAGAATGCTCGAATTCGAGATTTTATTAATTGATAATGTTATGTGCCTTCCAGATCACAGTCCTATCACAATTAGAGCACCATTCAGCTACCCAATCTCTGGTTTAGTTACCCAACACGGTTCAATCATCAAACTAAAGAAAGGCCAAATTCGAAATGCTCAAATCCGAGATTTTATTAATCCAAAATTTTATGTGCCTTCCAGATCACAGTCCTAACACAATTAGAGCACCATTCAGCTACCCAATCTCTGGTTTAGTTACCCAACATCAATCATCAAACTAAAGAAACGCCAAATTTGAATAATCCAAAATTTTCTCAATCTATTACCTTAAATGCGTTCCAGTTTAAAGATTTTTTTAAAAATTTCGAAAAATCACCGATCCAGCGTGCGCCAATGCCGGAGAAGAACGCTTCGAATCTCGGCTTTCGTCCCAGCGTCGCCCGGCGTCGAGGACATCTGCAATTTTTGGCGATTAAATCCAGAAAATAAGTTACTTCTTCGTTTTATTTCGAGTTTATTTTGATGCTCTGACTTGTTTTCGTCGACAAAACACTCATTTTTTTCATTTTTTCATTTTTTTCATTTTTTTCTTTAATCCCCTCCAATGAACCGAAAAATTGAGGAAATTTTTCAAAATTCAATTTTCAAAATCGATATTTCATTCAACATTTTTCTACCTGTTTCTGAGAAATTAATGGATGCTGGACGTCGTTTGACACGATTTTCGAATGATTTTGATTTAAATCAGTGAAAATCGAGTCCTTTTCCCTCTTTTCATCGACAAAAAACTCGAAATTGCTCATCTCGCCAATTGTCGTCAATCGACCCATCTTTTGACGGTTTTTGAAAAACTATTTACCCATCATGGAACGCACATAAATGATTGCAGCTAAGGAAACGCTAGATACAAGAAATTTGAAAAAAAAATTTGAGAAATCGAGATCAACGACATTTGAAGTGATTTGGATGACGAAAAAGAGTTTTTAACAAAATGAATCCAATATCTGGAGGGCACAGATGGATTTGAATTTAAAAGATATTAAAAAATATCAAAAAAAAAATTCTCAGCGAACAAATTTCTTTGTTTGCTTTTGCGGTTTTCATTTCTCTTTTTTTTCTTTGCTCGCTTCTCATCCCGAAAATCATCCGAACCGCAAATTTTTACGCCCAATCAATCGCCCAATCAAGAGAGAAATTGTCTCAAATTCTTGTCTCAAAAGAAAAAACTTTTGACGCTCACCGGACTCGAACTTGGGTGATGTGGCTTTGGAACCAAACCACTTAACCACTCGACCATAAAGTTTTTTGGATATTTTGAATTTTTAAATAGCTAGACATCTAAGTTGACTTCCAGAATTTATTATAAACTCATTGATATCTTTTGAATTTAAAAGATATCAAAGGTATCAAAAAAAAATTCGATGGGTCAAAACAAAATTTCTTTGTTTGCTTTTGCGATTTTCATTTCTTTTTTTTTCTTTGCTCACTTCTCATCCCGAAAATTATGAACCGCAAATTTAAGGACCAAAGCAATCGCCCAATCAATAGAGAAATTGTCAAAAATTCTTGTCTCAACCTTTTGACGCTCATCGGACTCGAACTTGGGTGATGCGCCTGGAGCCAAACGCCTGGAACCAAGCCACTTAACCACTCGACCATAAAGTTTTTTGGATATTTTGAATTTTTAAAAAGCTAGACATCTAAGTTGACTTCCAGAATTTATTATAAACTCATTGATTTCTTTTTATCTTTAGAAAATCAAAAGCTTTTGAAGCAATCTTGTGAACGAGAAAAGATTGGGTGAAAATTTCAGCTTAAACGGGAGAATTTCTCTGAAATTTTATCGCGAAAGTTACTAATGGCTGGCAAAAGGAACAAAGCGATGCCGAAAATCGAGGAAAAGACAAAAAAATGGAGACTCGTGTCAAGTGGCGCTTTGAGTTCAATGAATTCCTCGGGGAATTCCCGGGTAATGAACGACCTTCGATTTCTCTAAACGCCTAGCTGGAGCGCACTTTATATGCTAAAGCTTTCAGAAAAGTTCAAGGTTTAAAAATGGTAGAGAGAATTTTTCGAGGCCTTCACGAACTCTTGAACGGTATTCAAAAACGTTCGTGCATTTCTGGCATTTTTTTAGTTTTTTCAGGAATGCTGGGCGTGCATTAAAGAAGTTTTTTTGGGAAAATTAGAGCCCTGGGATGGTGATGGGTCTTTTTATATTTCCTTTGAGGAGAAGAAAAGAAAATTCTGTGCATTCCAGCATTGCTAAAAAATTCTGAAAACTGGCCGGTTTTTTTTAAAATAACTATATTGCAGGCGGTCGGAAATAAATCTTTGCTTAAGCATTCCGATAAAATGAGTAAGCAGAAAGCAGTGAGCAATGGAGAAGAGAACCATCAAGTTGACAAAAACTTGTAAACAAACGCTTTCTGGTGCACAAGAATGAAAGAAAGAGGTGGAAAAGTGTAAATTGCTTAGTCGCAAGTTTTAGCAGTAGATCTAGTCAATCAGGCAGTAAGTCAGGCAGTCAGTCAGTCAGTTAGGCACGCTAGGCAGTCAGTCAGTCAGGCAGTCAGTTAGGCACGCTGGGCAGTCAGGTAGTCAGGCAGTCAGTTAGGCACGCTAGGCAGTCAGTCAGTCAGGCAGTCAGTCAGTCAGTCAGTCAGTCAGTCAGTCAGTCAGTCAGGCACGCTAGGCAAAAGCTAAACGAATTGTGATCTGGCTTAGGCTTACAGTTGACAAAAATTTGTAAACACACCGTTTCTGGTGAACGGGGTGTTGATCGATACGGCCAATTGATTTCAGCTAATCTAGAGGACGTTAGGCAAAGGCTAAACGAATTCTGATCTGGCTTTGCATGGTTTACAGATCGTTGCATCGCTTACAGATCGTTGCATGGCTTGCAGATCGTTGCCTGGCTTACAGAATCAAAGTAAATAGAAAAAGTTATCAAAACTAGCAAACGAAATATAGAAAATTCAAATTTTAGATTTAGAAAATGGCTATTGAATCGGTGAATACTTCAAAAATGATCACTATTTCTTTCTTTTTTTATGCTTGAAGAACTCCTCCTCCTCCTCTTCTCTTCCTCTTCTCCTCCTCTTCTCTTCCTCTTCTTCTCCTCTTCTCTTCCTCTTCTTCTCCTCTTCTCTTCCTCTTCTTCTCCTCTTCTCTTCCTCTTCTTCTCCTCTTCTCTTCCTCTTCTCCTCCTCTTCTCCTCCTCTTCTCTTCCTCTTCTTCTCCTCTTCTCTTCCTCTTCTCCTCCTCTTCTCCTCCTCTTCTCTTCCTCTTCTTCTCCTCTTCTCTTCCTCTTCTCCTCCTCTTCTCCTCCTCTTCTCTTCCTCTTCTTCTCCTCTTCTCTTCCTCCAAAAAAGAGCACCCATTTCAGCTAATTCTTTGCAAATTAAGTAACCGTGGGAATGAAACACTCACAGGAAGAAAAAGCGAAAAATTCGGCAGAGATCGACCCAACGCCCTCGGCCTAGTAAAGGGCAAACTCGGAAAGGACTGTTTTTAACAAAAATTTTAACACTAAAATAAAGCATGACATCCAGAACGTTGAAAAATTGATATAAAAAAGTTAAAAGATTATTAAAAACTTTTTCTTTTCTTTTGAACAGAGTTTTAGAAAATTTTGAAATTGTAATTGAAGAAACTAATTTTTATTAGTGAACGCACACAACTCATTTTTGCAAAAAAAATAAACAAAATTCGCATTTTACATTTTGGTCGAAATGGCTAGCGTGCTAGTCTACAAGGAACCCCAACCTTGTAACCAAAAACACCACCAATCGGCTGTTTTTTAAAAAGATTTTAATACTAAAATAAAGTGTGACATCCAGAACGTTGAAAACATTGATATAAAGGTGTTAAAAGACTGTTGAGGAAATTTTTCTTTTCTTTTGAACAGAGTTTTAGAAGAATTTCGGCTGAAACTGTGAAATATTCGAAAAAATTCCCGATTTTTCATTAAAGCTGGATGGCACACAACTCATTTTTGCAAAAAAATAATCAAAATCTACATTTTACATCTTGGCCAAGTGGCTAGCCCGCTAGTCTACAAGGAACCAGGGACTCGAATTCAGGAATCGAACCAGCACTACAAATCGGCTGTTTTTTAAAAAGATTTTAATACTAAAATAAAGTGTGACATCCAGAACGTTGAAAACATTGATATAAAGGCGTTAAAAGACTGTCCAAAACTTTTCTTTTCTTTTGAACAGAGTTTTAGAAGAATTTCGACAGAAACTGTGAAATGTCCGAAGAAATTCCTAATTTTTCGTTTAATCTGGAATGCACATAACTCATTTTTGCAAAAGGATAATCAAAATTCGCATTTTGAAATTTTGGTCGAATGGTTAGCTTAGTCTACAAGAAACCGGGAACTCGGGTTCAATCCCGAGCATAATCAAAGGCTTTTGCTAAACTAGAAATTGCATGACATCCATAAAAATGATTCAAATAACTTTATTTGGAGGAAATTGTTCGTCAATTTTCGAATGCATTGCAGAGAAGGAAGAATTCGAAGAACTTCTTGGTTGATGGCCATCAAAAGAAAAAAAAAGAAAGAAGGGGTTGCTTTTTGACAGAGAAAAGGGAAAGGGTCCTTGGAGAGAAATTGGATTGGTTCTTGTTCTTTCTTTTTTTTTTGTTCGTGAAAAAATGAGGATAAGCTCTTAAAAAAGGCCGTTTTTAAGTCGGCAATTTTTCTGAAAGAAAATGCAAAATTTGAGTTGTTTTTTTGTTGGCGGGTGATTAGCTGAATGAGCTTTTTGTTGGTGATTTGTTAAAGAATCTTAATCCTTGTTTCCTCTTCATTCTATTCTTGATCCTTATTTCGAAAATTGTCTTCATTTTCTTAATTATCTGAATCTTGACTGAAATTGAAATTGTTCATAAATGCTTTTTTTTATTATGCAAAACTTCTATCTAAAGTTTTTTCATCTTCTTGTTCGAAGGTGTGGTTTGGATTAAGCTGGCTGGGGAGCTGATTGGGAAGCTGATTGGGAAGCTGGTTGGGAAGCTGGTTGGGAAGCTGATTGGGAAGCTGGTTGGGAGCTGGTTGGGGAGCTGATTGGGAAGCTGGTTGGGAAGCTGGTTGGGAAGCTGGTTGGGAAGCTGGTTGGGAAGCTGGTTGGGGAGCTGATTGGGAAGCTGATTGGGAAGCTGGTTGGGAAGCTGGTTGGGAAGCTGGTTGGGAAGCTGATTGGGAAGCTGGTTGGGAAGCTGGTTGGGAAGCTGGTTGGGAAGCTGATTGGGGCTGGTTGGGCGGGCGAGGGAGCTGTGGGGGCGGCGTGGCGGTTGGGAGCTGGTGGACACGTGGGGGCTGGGGAAGCTGGTTGGGAGCTGGTGGAAGCGGAGCGGGGGCGTTGGGGCGATGGAAGCGATGGGAAGCTGAGGGAAGCGGTTGGGAAGCTGGTTGGGAGCTGGTTGGGAGCTGATTGGGAGCTGGTTGGGAGCGATTGGGAAGCTGATTGGGAAGCTGGTGGGAAGCTGGTTGGGAAGCGTTGGGAAGCTGGTTGGGAGCTGTTGGGGGCTGATTGGGAAGCTGGTTGGGAAGCTGGTTGGGGCTGTTGGGGTGTTGGGAGCTGTTGGGGCTGTTGGAAGCTGATTGGGAGCTGATTGGGAAGCTGGTTGGGAAGCTGGTTGGGGAGCTGGTTGGGGAGCTGGTTGGGGAGCTGATTTAAGCTTTGTCTCATCAAACTTTCGTGTTGAGCTCAAAATCTCAATTCTCCTTCAAGAAAACTCTGTTTTTATTTGAAATTTAGAAGTTCTGGATGTCACAGAAATATCTTATAAACATTTCGATCTCGATAAGATCGATAAGAGA